CTGAGCAATGCCTCTCTCCCGGCCCCCTCCGGCTGTCCCCAGAAGAACGGGGTGCGGTTCCTGCGCTGCCCGGCCGCGATGACCGTCATGCACTTGGCCAAGTTCCTCCGCAACAAGATGGATGTTCCCAGCAAGTACAAGGCGAGTGTGTGCCCGGGGTCCGCTCCTGCCCGGCTTTCGGAGCGCTCGGAGGGGCCGATGCCGTTTTGGCCACCAAATAAACCCCCTCCCAAATATCCCAGGCTTTGTGTTGGTGGGTGGGCGTGGGGGTGGGCTCCGTCCCCTCCGGCGTGTTGCATGGAACCGTGACTGTGCTCCGGCTTCTGGCAGGGGCAGTGCCCGGAGCCCAGGCACCCCCGGCTCCGGGGGAGGCACTTGGGGATGGCAAAGCCTCAGGAGTGGGGCTGGGGGGGTCTGGCAGTGCCCCTTCCCCCGTGCTGGGGGGCTGACGCTGTTCCCTGTGCCAGGTGGAAGTGCTCTACGAAGACGAGCCCCTGAAGGAGTATTACACCCTGATGGACATCGCCTACATCTACCCCTGGAGAAGGGTAAGCGGAGCCGCGCCGGGGCGCCGGGGGCCTGTCTTGGGGAAAAGGGCAGAGGAGCAGTTCCTAGGGGAAGGCTGAAGGCACCGAAACACTTACAAACTGAATAGCTTAAAAATTGGAGGGCTTTGAAATTGAAAAACCTAAAATTTGAGCTTCAAAATTGAAGAATTTAAAATTTGAAGAGCTTAAAAATCGAGAAACAGAATTCAAAGACCTTAAAAACTGAAGAACCTAATATTTGAAGGTTTTAAAATTTGAAGAGGTTAAAACTGAGAAACTTAAAATTTGAAGAACTTACTTAAAAACAGAAACAAAATGTGAAGAGCTTAATATTTGAAGAATTTAAAATTTGACAACCTTGATTTGAAAAAATTAAATTTGAAGAACGTAAAAATTGAGAAACTCAAAATTTGAATACCTTAAAAATTGAAGGGTGTTTGAAGAACTTAAAAGTTGGAGGACTTAGAAATTGAAAAACGTAGAGGTTGAAGAACTTAAAATAAGAAAAATTAAAGAATTGAAAATATTAAATTAAAAGCTTAAAAACTGGAGCATGTCAACAAATAGACCCCAGGCGCCCCCTCCCCACGGTCTTGGCTCCAGGTGGGATTTTTAGCGAGCTGGGGGCTGCATGTGCTTTTCTCCCCCTTCC